AAATACAAATACAGTAATTCTATCTTTAACTATCACAATTGAAACACTGACCCCCCCCCCTCGATTATGCACGTACAGGCCTAAGGATAATGTTAGATACAACCAATTGAGTCTGGAAAAAATGGAAGACCTAGCTACCATGAGGAAAGCGGGTAAATCCAGGAATTAAACAGAACATAATGATAACTGAAAACAAAATTTTAGGAAAGTTTTGATTAGCATGAAACATAATAACAATAAATAAAATAAGGCTAGATTTGCCTCTCTCCAGGTCAATACAAACTACGAGTATGAACTACAATACATATCAGTGGTGTGTGAGTGTGTACATGTGCAGCGCTAAGTCATTGTGCACGTATTACAGTATAGTAATATGCGTGAGAGTTCTGATGTAAGTTTATTCTTACTACAGGCTGTACAATACTGTACTTAGTAGGTAGACCAAGCTGGTTAGAATTAAAACATTGAACATGATTTGCCAAGATCGCTGTTCTGTTTAAAAGTTTTACAGATCATTGGCTGTTTGTTTCTTTAAGATACTATATAACATTAACATGGTTTGGGCTTATTTTTTCCAATGTAACAAAACTTCCTGGGAAATAAGGTGTCCAAAATTAATTGAATAAAGATGCAAAATTACCAACTAAACATTAATTATATTTTTTGGAAATAAATAAAATATAAAAACATCAAAATTCTTGTAATTTGATTTTTTTACATCAGTATTGTTGTAATTGGATCTTTTTGGAGGGTCTGTATTTTTATGTTTTTTTTTTTTGGACAACCTCTGATAAAATCAAGCCCTGTATATATATATTTATTTGTGTGTGTGTACATAGGTATAAATAATTTTAAATTATATCAGTATCATTGATTCAGGAACTTCTAATGTTTACAGAATCTTCCAAAGAAGGAAAATGTCCTCAGTATGTTGCTGAACCTCGATATTGTGGTAATAACACTTGTACTGCTGATGAAGAATGTGAAGGTTTAAAAAAATGTTGTCCATCTGATGTTTGTGGTGCTATTTGTGTTACTCCTGAACCTAAAGGGTTGCCCACAAGTATGTACTTTTACATTTTTGTATTGATTGCTCAGTCATATTAGAATCATTTATGGTTTTAAAAAGTTACTATAAAACTAAGAAGTGAAAGAAACATCTTTGTGTTTGTTCTGTAAGTTTTTTTAGTCTCTTCAGCATGACAAGATGGTTTGGAATAAATGTTTTGCGAATATTTTAGTTATCTAATGATCTAACTGTTTGTTTTTTTATTTTTATTTTAATTGCCGGCAAACATGTGTCTCTTCGACAATGAGATGGAAGTTTGGAAATTTGGATCTTAAGTTTCAAATTTTAGATAAATCTTCAAATATTAAAACGTGTCTATTTGTTTTTATTATGCACCTAAAAGTAAACCTGACACTGGGAGAACATGGCAGTGAATGGCACTAAACATGTGTAAACCAATCTGTTGATTTTTACAGTGTGTGAGTACTTGCATGAGATGGGAAAGAAGATAAATACTATAAAGGAGGATGAGTTTCTGGCTATATCAGTTCCTGAGTGTCGCGAGGATGGTAGTTATGAACCTGTCCAGTGTAATGGTGATGGAGAATGTTGGTGTGTAGATGAGTTTGGTGTAGAACTAAATATGACCAGAGCTTCGTCTTTTGACCAAGTAGACTGTCGTCAAGGTGAATGACAAAAGAATGTTTTTAATTTATTGAAAATAAATATTATTTGCTTAGTCTGACAGGTTGTGTAAATTCATGTATTGACATCAAAACTAGTCTCTTTATAGTTGGTTTTCAATTCTGTTTGTGTAATATGAAGAAAGTTAGTAGCCACTCTGTAACAAGATCTTTTTTTTTCTAAACACAGGGTTTGATCATTAAATATTACTCTTCTTTTTTTTAGTGTTTTCAACAGCAGAATTGTTGGAGAACTTTAATAATTACAAGTTGTACCTAAATTGGCTAAGTGTTTTTAATTTTGTGTACAAAAAAATTTTTGCAATGTAATAAAAGAAAGAAAAGATATGATTTATTATTAAAACAAAGTCTTCTTTATATGGTTAGTTCATGCTCGGTTAGAATGTTCTGGGGTTCTTTGTCGTCTTGGCTGTGACTACGGTTTTGAACATGACTATGCCGAATGCCCTATTTGTGCATGTAGAAATCCGTGCAAAGTAAGTTTGTTCACAATATTTGCTACAATTATTTGTGTTCAGTTTGACAGTGGTAGCTCAGGATATCCTTTCCTGTGATGAGTCTTTAGAGAAACTCAGAACACCTTGTGATTTAGACAGATTTTCATGTTTACTGATTTAGTTGGATCCTAAAACTTGAATTTGTATACCTTGTAAGTGTAGTATGTTTCTGATACTGAATATTTGTATTTTTCTAGGATGCTAAATGTCCCAAGGGCTATGAATGCCAGATGACAGAAGTACTTTGTGAAGACATTTGGTGTCCTCCTCTTCCAAAATGTACGTTATTTTTTAATTTCACTAAGTTTCTCTTGTTTTATTTCACTGTATGTATGTATGTATGTATGTAGATACTTTTATTATTATGACTGTAATTATACCCTTATTAAATGTTAAAAGTCGTTTAGATGTATTATGCTATTGAAATATGATATGTAATAATTATTCTGTTTGATGATAATATCAAAAGGTATGCGGGTGAAGACACAGTCCAGAAATTCTTTTCCTCGCTGCCCAACAGGAGGTCCCATGTTAAATGAAAATGACATCCCAATGATCTGTAATCCTCAGATTGGAGTTCAGCAATGTCCAGATACTCATGTCTGTCTTGTTCCTGACCCAGTAACTCCTGGTATTTGTTGCCCTAGAAGTGGTAAGTCATGCTGTTGCAATGCAGCCAAGAATATTTTTTTTATTAATTTCGATCATCACTTATGGTTTAGAGCTCTTAAATTTATTAGAACCATTATTTGTGTGTAAACATTTTCAAGAGACATTAGAAATGCTATGTTTATAAAGAACCTGATTTTAAGGAAATGTGAAACATAACAACTCTTAATAAATTCTAATGAAAATAAGCACAGTGTGAATGTTGGAAAACTTCAATAAACAGTATCAGTTATCACAAAGAAGAAAAGTTAACAATTAATTGTTCCATAATAAGTTTCAGGTTTTAATATTTTTCTTACTAAAAATTAACTAAATTACTGTTTGCTTTCTTCTCTCAAATTAATAGTTTCACAGTGTACTACTGAAATTATTCTTACAGGTGAAGATCTGTCATTGGTTGACAGTTCAGAAGACAATCTTTTGGTGAGTAACAGTACAGAGGAACAAAACGTCTCATCAGGCGAGAAGGAAGGTAGCTGTCCAGTTGTTGAATCCTGGGAGGTTGGAAACTGTGCTGAAGAATGTCAGGTAGATAGTGATTGTTCTGGACCTCAGAAATGTTGTACTAATGGATGTGCAGCTCATGTGTGTCGTGACCCAGCTGGTACCACAGGAAAACCTGGCCAGTGTCCATACCTGGTACCGCAGTCTTTAGGATCTTGTGAATATGAATGCACATCAGATTATGACTGTGAGGACACTAAGAAGTGTTGTACCAATGGTTGTGGAACTCAGTGTCTTGTGCCTTTGACTCTTACAACCTGTCAGCATCAAAGAGCTATTGCAGAATACCGAGCTCGAGAGGCAGGAATCCCAGCATCTCAAGTATTTTTGCCAGTTTGTGACCAAGAGACAGGGGTTTTTGAAGATGTACAGTGTAATCCTTTGACTCGAGAATGTTGGTGTGTAGACATCCGTGGTTATGAGGTTGCAGGAACTAGGTCTCTTCATGGTCAAGCTACTAATTGTTCTGGATCAACAGCATGTCCTGTGTTAGTTTGTAAGTTGGACTGTCCTGCAGGGTTGAAACTGGACGAGAATGGCTGTTCTCTCTGTGAATGTGCTGACCCATGTCGTGACGTGACTTGTTCTAGCCCGGTGGAGGAATGCCGTCTTGTACAACTGACTTGCATCACAGAACCATGTCCACCTGTACCTTTGTGTAAGATAATTTAATTCCTTTTTGTTGATTTAAAAAGAAATGAAACTATGAGGCAACATTTACTCTGTGTGTGTGAGTGCGGAGATTTTGAATTAAAGTAAATGTTGTTGATTTGTTACAGGCTTACCACCTATAAGCAACCCCTGTCAAATTGGTGAGCCATTAATTGATGTTAATAGTGGAAATGAATTGAAATGTGGTCCACAAGGTAGTCAGTGTCCATCTTCTCACCGGTGTCACTTAAGTCCATTTGGAGAATTTGCTGTGTGTTGTCCAAAGCCAAGTAAGACTAACCTTGAACTTGTATACAGTTCAATTTATTTGTTTGTGAATATGCCAATATTAAATCATTTCTTTTTCTAGTTTGTACAAATGAACACTGATATTGTAAATTTCTGTGGCAGTTAGCTATTTCCAGGAATATCCTTGTTAGAATTAATGTGAAGAACTAAATGACAAATGAATTTATAGGAACTTAATACCATTGTTTTGTTGACAACAGCACACTGTTACATACAGGAGAAGTATAAAGATTACAAACCATTGTTTGGTTTATAACAGCTCACTGTTATATACAGGAGAAGCATAAATATTACAAAACATTGTTTGGTTTATAACAGCACATATTACAAACCATTGTTTTGTTGACAACAGCACACTGTTATATATAGGAGAAGTATAAATATTACAAACCGTTGTTTTGTTGCCAACAGCACACTGTTATATACAGGAGAAGTATAAAGATTACAAACCATTGTTTTGTTGATAACAGCACACTTATATACAGGAGAAGCATAAATATTACAAACCATTGTTTTGTTGACAACAGCACACTGTTATGTATAGGAGAAGTATAAATATTACAAACCATTGTTTTGTTGACAACAGCACACTGTTATATACAGGAGAAGCATAAATATTACAAACCATTGTGTTGTTTATAACAGCACACTGTTATATACAGGAGAAGCATAAATACTACAAACCATTGTTTTGTTGACAACAGCACACTGTTATATACAGGAGAAGCATAAATATTACAAACCATTGTGTTGTTTATAACAGCACACTGTTATATACAGGAGAAGCATAAATACTACAAACCATTGTTTTGTTGACAACAGCACACTGTTATATACAGGAGAAGTAGAAATATTCCAAACCATTGTTTGGTTTATAACAGCACACTGTTATATACAGGAGAAGTAGAAATATTCCAAACCATTGTTTGGTTTATAACAGCACACTGTTATATACAGGA